AGTTCATTCGGGGCCAAAATTATGAAAAATGGGCATCGTCACGGGCCAGTGGTCTAAGCCTCAGCCTACAAAGATGATTAATATAATACAACAACTGATTCGCGGCCACTTGTTATGCCTCAGCGGGCCAAATCTAGCCCGCGGGCTAACGATAAACAGACAATGATATAATGATAAACAGACCATAATCTAATGATAAACAGACAATGATCTAACGATAAACAGACAATGATCTAACGATAAATAAACAATGATCTAACGATAAATAAACAATGATCTAATAAAAAACAGACAATGATCTAATGATAAACAGACAACAATATAATGATAAAAAGGCCATGATCTAATGATAAACAGACCATGATCTAATGATAAACAGACAATGATCTAATGATAAACAGACAATGATCTAACGGTAAATAGACAATGATCTAATGATAAACAGATATTGATCTAATGATAAACAGACAATGATCTAACGATAAACAGACAATGATCTAACGATAAACAGACAATGATCTAATAATAAACAGACAATGATCTAATTATAAACAGACAATGATCTAACAATAAACATACAATGATCTAATAAAAAACAGACAATGATCTAATGATAAACAGGCAATGATCTAATGATAAACAGACAATGATCTAATGATAAACAGACAATGATCAAATGATAAACAGACAATTATTTGACGATAAACTGACAATAAAGTAAAGTAAAGTAAAGTAAAGCAAAAATCCCTTTTCACGCATTAGGCGCATCAGGCATATGGGAAGAGCGTCCCATATTTTGACAGACCAATCGGCATTGGGTGGGTAATGTGGTCAGCATTACGCCGGCCGTCTTTACGTCTCCAGGACAGCCCCCCTGGTACCCATTTTAGGCTGGGTCGGCCTGCGAAGCCCCATACAATTATAAAAACATACGCAGAAAGCAGTGGGTTTCGATTGCGGTACGTTGGAATTACAAATCGGACAGGCAACGCCCAAGCCACGGACAATGATCTAACGATAAACAGACAATGGTCTAACGATAAACAGACAATGATCTAACAATAAACAGACAATGATCTCACGATAAACAGACAATGATCTAACAATAAATAGACAATGATCTGATGATAAACAGATAATGATCTAAGGATAAACTGTGTCATAAAAGGCTAGTGTCACGTGACTTCATTAGAGTTTCCTCTAATAAGCAAAAAAAGATACTCTGAAGTAGTTCAAGCGTTGAGATGTTGGCTCGCAATGGTCTAAGCGGTATTCCGCAGCTCCAAAGAACATCCAACCTAGTTCAGGGGTGAGGCAACTCAAATTATATCATACAGAATCAATAAATTTTCTTAGGCGTACCTTCGACTGACTTTCCCACTACTTTTAAGTCCCCAGACTAGATAGTAATCCAATGTTAGACAATTTACCACAGTATAATATGAATTACAACAATATAACAGGCACTCCAAACAACTTAAAAACTGTAAAGGGTGGACACTAACCACAGAATATACAATTATAAAAATTCATGTAAGAATATAAAGAAATTAATTCAGCAAGACAAAGTAAACCATTTAGGAAAGCAAAGAATACTCTACTCTAGTTGGACTGGTTTGTCCCTAGCAGCAGCAAGTATCATCGCTGCCAGACTGTGGAATTTTGGACCTAGATAACTTGCAATTTCTTTTAAAGAGTGACTGCAGTAGCTGGCGACCACGTTCTGTTAATCTGAAATGCTAGTTCTTCAAACAGTGGGCCTTGAGCTGGAACAAAGTCTGGTGAATTCAATAATAATACAATGTTCACCAGACACTGGAGTTGGTCAAACGTGACTTAAATACACGTATGTGAAGTACTATAGTGATTGTAGCATAGGATAATGATAAACAGACAATGATCTAATGATAAACAGACAATGATCTAATGATAAACAGAAAATGATCTAACGATAAAGAGACAATAATCTAATGATAAACAGTCTGTGCTTGCCTGTCTGTCTGTCTGTTTACCTATCTACATGTCTGTCTGTCTGTCTGTCTGTCTGTCTGTCTGTCTGTCTGTCTGTCTGTCTGTCTGTCTGTCTGTCTGTCTGTCTGTCTGTCTGTCTGTCTGTCTGTCTGTCTGTCTGTCTGTCTGTCTGTCTGTCTGTCTGTCTGTCTGTCTGTCTGTCTGTTTACCTATCTACATGTCTGTCTGTCTGTCTGTCTGTCTGTCTGTCTGTCTGTCTGTCTGTCTGTCTGTCTGTCTGTCTGTCTAGACGTCTGTCTGTCTGTCTGTCTGTCTGTCTGTCTGTCTGTCTGTCTGTCTGTCTGTCTGTCTGTCTGTCTGTCTGTCTGTCTGTCTGTCTGTCTGTCTGTCTGTCTGTCTGTCTGTCTGTCTGTCTAGACGTCTGTCTGTCTGTCTGTCTGTCTAGACGTCTGTCTGTCTGTCTAGACGTCTGTCTGTCTGTCTGTCTGTCTGTCTGTCTGTCTGTCTGTCTGTCTGTCTGTCTGTCTGTCTGTCTGTCTGTCTGTCTGTCTGTCTGTCTGTCTAGACGTCTGTCTGTCTGTCTGTCTGTCTGTCTGTCTGTCTGTCTGTCTGTCTGTCTGTCTGTCTGTCTGTCTGTCTGTCTAGACGTCTATCCACTCGTCTCACTGACTGTCGGTTCAGGTGTCTGTATGTCCCTCTCTGTCTACTTAAAAAACTCCCTACTTGCCTTCTTGTCTGTCCGTCTGCCCATCCGTCTAGCTTGCTGTTTGCCTTCTTGTCTGTCCGTCTGCCCATCCGTCTAGCTTGCTGTTTGCCTTCTTGTCTGTCCGTCTGCCCATCCGTCTAGCTTGCTGTTTGCCTTCTTGTCTGTCCGTCTGCCCATCCGTCTAGCTTGCTGTTTGCCTTTCAGAAATAAAATAATAATAATACTGAAAATAAAAAAAATAAAAAAACAATAATAGTCATAATAATAGTAAGAATAATAATAATATTTAATAATAACAATAGGATTGGCCAAACATTTGTTTTCTTAACAACATGAGAAAACAAAAAATTCAGTTGCAATAAATCACACTTTTGAAATGGGAATTACCGAATGTGGTTGCAAGGCACAAACGCCTGCACAGTGAACAAACATACAGACACCATCAACGAGACCTAGGTGATGTGGACAGACTCAAGAATAAGTCACATTTCAGTGACATTAAAGCTATTTCGATTTTGAAGTTAGACTGAGAATACCATTTAAATTCGAGCCTATGCAATCATAGAACACTCAGATGAAATATCCCAGCTATATTATAAATTTAAAATCCTTAAACAGTTTTTTTTTTAAAACATAGAACTGTTGAAGGCTGTGGAACAAGAGGTCTACACATGTACTAGTGGAAGGTTGATCTGAGAGAAAGAAAGAAAGAAAGACAGAAAGAAAGAAATAATGAAAGAAAGAAAGAAAGAAAGAAAGAAAGAAAGAAAGAAAGAAAGAAAGAAAGAAAGAAAGAAAGAAAGAAAGAAAGAAAGAAAGAAAGAAATATATATATATATATATATATATATATATATATATATATATATATATATATATATATATATATATATATAGAGAGAGAGAGAGAGAGAGAGAGAGAGAGCGAGCGTGGACATTATACCTTACTATATGAATGTAGTTCAGCAGGATGCATAGTTACAAAACATGTGAATAAACTTATGACTACAACAAACTAAACAAATCGATCAAAACATTTTCTGCTTTTTCAAGTCCCTGTCGTATGGGGCGGTGCATCACGTCTTACCCAGGTCTGGTCTGCTTATATATTGTCGGAAAGTATAAATTTTTGTTTTTAAAAGTGCAAAACCACACCAAAATATACCAAATTAAAATTGTTATTTTAAAAACCGGCCAAAAGTATATATATATATAATTTTAGCCGTTTTTTTTCTTCTCAAATTAAAATTTTTAATTTGGTATATATTTGGTGTGTTTTAGTAACTTTAAAAACACAAATTGATACTTTCCATGTATATATATATATATATATATATATATATATATATATATATATATATATATATATATATATATATATATATATATAGAGAGAGAGAGAGAGAGAGAGAGAGAAGAGAGAGAGAGAAAGAGAGAGGGATAGCTTATATTTGATCACAGTTCACACTGTCTATCCATGACATCCTTGCTGTACCATGTTCATTATAAAGCAGTTGTAGCGGCTTTCCGTTGGTGCAGTTTAAGTTCTGGAGCAATAACTTTGATCTCATCAATACATTTATTGTTAAAGTATTTCATGAACACGATTTAAAGCAAAATCTTCATATTGTTAAGCGGTGAGACTCTTTCTGCAGCTGCAGAGGAATGAAGTAATGCCAAAAGACTAAACTTAAATTTTGATACTAATGGAAAGCGATTTTTATCTCCACATTTCTTTTGTGGAATTTCAAACAACAAAATTTTTTTTAAAGCATTATGTAGTTGATTTTTGCACTATTAGTTCCCTCCAATTTTTTATTTAATTGTTCAGGGCACGGCCGACTGCCTTTCTAGAGAAGGTTGTGATTCCGTGTTCTTCTTCAACAAGGGTCTGAAATTTGATGACCTGGGACATACGTGACCTCGGTTCCCCACCAGTAACACTGATTGGACTGGCAACATTTAATGTATTGATTCAAAATTTCTTAAAAGACCAGATCATTCAGTAACTGCTGGTTGAGCGGTTAATGCCGGAGACCTGGGTTCGATTCCCGGTAAGGTAATGGCTTTTTTTCTGTAGGTAGCACACACAAACAATTATAGCCTGCACAGTCTGTGGCGAGAGCACCAGCCATGAGGCCCTAAAGCCTTAGGTTCACGATCTCCTGTCTACATCGCCACCGCCACCAGCAACAGTAACAGCAATATAAAGCAAATACCTTACCACGTCACACACACACATACACAGATACACACCATCATCATCACTACCACCATCATCAACAACAAGTAAACTGGTCCCCTCACCACATCACATTCACAGATGCACACACAATTACCCTCACCACATCGCAAGCACACACACACACACACACACACACACACACACACCGTCACCACCATCACCACCGACAACAACAAGCTAGCTGATCTCCTCACTATCTCACAATCTGTCACACTATCATCAGCAGCAAAACCATCACCAACACCACCAGCACCTCCACCAACACCACCAGCACCTCCACCAACACCACCAGCACCTCCACCAACACCACCAGCCCCTCCACCAACACCACCAGCACCTCCACCAACACCACCAGCACCTCCACCAACACCACCAGCACCTCCACCAACACCACCAGCACCTCCACCAACACCACCAGCACCTCCACCAACACCACCAGCACCTCCACCAACACCACCAGCACCTCCACCAACACCACCAGCACCTCCACCAACACCACCAGCACCTCCACCAACACCTCCACCAACACCACCAGCACCTCCACCAACACCACCAGCACCTCCACCAACACCACCAGCACCTCCACCAACACCACCAGCACCTCCACCAACACCACAATAAACCTCCACCAACACCACCATCAGCACCTCCACCAACACCACCAGCACCTCCACCAACACTACCGGCACCTCCACCAACACCACCAGCACCTCCACCAACACCACCAGCACCTCCACCAACACTACCAGCACCTCCACAAACACCACCAGCACCTCCACCAACACTACCAGCACCTTCACCAACACCATCAGCACCTCCACCAACACTACCAGCACCTCCACCAACACTACCACCACCAATATCAACATCAACAACAACAAGCCAACTGGTCACTCCACCACCTCACAATCTCACAAACTCACTATCATCACCAACACCCCCAACACCATCAACACTACCACCACAAACATCAACATCAACATCAACAAGCCAACTGGTCACTCCACCACCTCACAATCAACATAACCGTTTGCTTTTACAAGACAAACATGACACTCCTTAATTATATGCAACAAACACTGCAGCCAGCAGACAACGCCAACGAGCCCAGAGAAGACCCGGAGACTTCCATCTGTCCCTGGACGACTTCTAGTTTACCTCCAGCCTGCGGACTCCAGCCTGAAGTACCGGGATGCATGTTCAAGAAAGCATGACATGGTCGACGTTATTTCTCGCAGCCCATATTTCCATAAAGATTGTTTCTGTCCTCGCCTGTGGCGGTTGAAAGTGAAGTGTCTACAAGTGGTCAGATCTCCTGTGAAGGAGGACGACGATTCTGTTTCAGTGACTGGAGCCTGAGAGAGGCAGGATGCTCATTAAGTTCTGCTTGGAGAACCCTTAGAGGAGACTGCGGCTGTAACAAAGCTCTCAGAGGGAGCAAGTGTCGGGTCGGGAACGGTATTGTCTGTGGAAACAGGGCCCAAGACATGCCCTCTTAAACATCCTCGTTCTGAAACAAAATGTTTGCTCGTATCATGATCAGGGGACCCCTGGCCAGTCAAACCAGTAACTTACCTTACCCGGGGGCATACAGGCAGCCAAGCGGACACTAGGGTGGAATTATGGGATGTGATACCATCTCGCTATAGGACAATCTGATCCAGAAGGACACGCCACCTTCTGTTTCAGTGTTGTCTTCTCGTGCCCACATGTCCCATCTAGTGGACAAACATTTAACTCATCACGGAACAATCAGACAGCCAGTATAGTCGCAGAGGCCAGACTGAGAAGATGGGATGGGAAATAGCCCCAGGATATCACGGACTGGAATTCAATCAGATGGCAATCTTACACAACACACGGACCAACAGTACGTGGTGCCATAGAATCGAACCCACGGCCAACATGACTTCCACAGTCCAGTACTTACAGGGTTAGAATATAGGGCCCTTATCGATGAGTACACATACCACAGTTCTGCTCTGGTCCCCTGCCACTTTGGGATCCAATTAATGGCCAAGGGGAAAAAAACAAACATTTGTCCACGTCTCGAGATAAACTTCTTATAATATATCCAGTCTCTTGGTTCTCTTACTTATCATTATTCTCCTCTTCTTCTTCTCGGTAATTGTTCTCTTTCTTAATAATATATCCAGTCTCTTGGTTCTCTTACTTATCATTATTCTCCTCTTCTTCTTCTCGGTAATTGTTCTCTTTCTTAATAATATATCCAGTCTCTTGGTTCTCTTACTTATCATTATTCTCCTCTTCTTCTTCTCGGTAATTGTTCTCTTTCTTAATAATATATCCAGTCTCTTGGTTCTCTTACTTATCATTATTCTCCTCTTCTTCTTCTCGGTAATTGTTCTCTTTCTTAATAATATATCCAGTCTCTTGGTTCTCTTACTTATCATTATTCTCCTCTTCTTCTTCTCGGTAATTGTTCTCTTTCTTAATAATATATCCAGTCTCTTGGTTCTCTTACTTATCATTATTCTCCTCTTCTTCTTCTCGGTAATTGTTCTCTTTCTTAATAATATATCCAGTCTCTTGGTTCTCTTACTTATTATTCTCCTCTTCTTCTTCTCGGTAATTGTTCTCTTTCTTAATAATATATCCAGTTTGGTTCTCTTACTTATCATTATTCTCCTCTTCTTCTTCTCGGTAATTATTCTCTGTCTTAATAATATATCCAGTCTCTTGGTTCTATTACTTATCATTATTCTCCTCTTCTTCCTCTCGGTAATTATTCTCTTTCTTAATAATATATCCAGTCTCTTGGTTCTATTACTTATCATTATTCTCCTCTTCTTCTTCTCGGTAGTTCTCTTTCTCTCCCCTCTCCTTTCTTCAACCCACCCTCCACCCCACCCCCGCCCGGGCCGCAAAATATTGTCTAACCAGAGGTGTGGTAGCTGAGGGAGCCTAATTCTAGTTTGAAAAAAAAAAAACACACCAATAATGATAGAAGCAAAATTAATAATAAAGTTCTGAATGCTATATGCTGATATAATTAAAAATGTGAACGAATATTAAATGAATAAACAAATGCTTTACAAGTTTAAAAGGGGTCTTTTTTTATATATATATTTGGTTAAAGGCATTTGCCTAGCCTCCTTATACAATTATTGAGTGGAAAGAAGGGGGGGGGGGGGGTGCAATACCTTCTCCCACTTCTAATACTATTCTATGTGTGGGGGAGGGGGAGTTCAGGGGTCATGAGGCCCACCAGCGCCCCCCCCCCCCAGTTCCAGCCCCTAAGATTATAGTCTGTTGGCTGTGTTAAAGACCTGATGCTGTAACGCATGGAAGGAGGTGGGTGTTTCTCTACAGACATCCTTCTTTACATTAAGCCGAAACGGTTGTGTGCAGGACCTACGTGTTTTGAACAATGGACACATTTCTCTGATTGCCCAGTCGGTTTCCTAGTGCCCAATTATTGCCTTACCTGTGTTGCTGTCCTGTGCGAACTAGCGACATTACCACTAGACCCTGTCCCGGGACGATGTAGCCTCAGAGAACGTTGTTCACGTTTTCCCTATAGTTGGCCGTATTATATCACGTGATCTAATTACCCGCCATATCGCAGCAGTTCTAAATATGATTGGTTACGTCTGCTGGAAGTTGTGTAACCACTGGGTTCGAGATTTCACGTGGATCAGAACTGGACGACTAACCCACGTGACGAATGTTGGCATGTCCCCCTAACCCTATATTTAGACTCTTGTAGAGGTTATTGCTGTCATGCTTCATGACTCCAATTACCGGTACAGATGATTCTTTCAGAGATACGCAATTACCTGCTTAATTGCTACCCAGTATTCGATTGTTTAACAAAGACAGCATATACAGACCAATAAACAACCAAAGGTCATATATATATATATATATAAATCAATGTTTGTGCGTTTGTTTATGAGCTATAGACTCGGAAACTACTGAACCAATTTAGCTGAAATTTTCAGGATATGTTTGTTTTGATACCGGATGTTTACCCATCATGGTTTGAAATTCTACCTGTCATCGTTAGAGATAGGTGACCACATTTGTTGCAAAAATCTTCGAAACTAATATTTCTATTTTTAGTGACATTTAATTATAGCCACGTTAGTAAATGCGCATGCGCAGTCGGGACGCTCCGTTTATCAACCATTCGTCGGCGTGATGCAACTAACCAAACTATCTCTATATCGCTGATTGTGACGTTAACCATATTAGACACGGTTTCTATTTTCTTTCTTTTCAAACAACCTTAGATGAGTTGAAGAGTAGTCAGTGGATTTGAGAAGGGGGAGGTAAGGTTGTCTTAGAATCTGGACACACATCTTGCATGATTTTGTTCTCTTTTCGTTGATTAGACAAGGTGGTTAGCTGGCCGAATGCTTAGTACACGGGTTCCCGTTAGGGAGCCAATGGTTCAAATTCCCAGTACGTCTTTTTTTTTAAAGCCCGGGGGCAAAACAAAGCCCAGACCTGCACGTCGTGGCGACAGAACTAGCCATGTGGCCATAAATACTAAAATAATTTGATAATTAAATTTGACCATTTCGCATACTTATGATTGCATTTCAAACTTTCCGATTGCATGGTTACGCCGAATTTTCATAGATTTCCATTTCGATATAATTATTTCTTCTGACATTGCGTTGGAATTAGGCTGTGTTGTTTATCATAGCGTTCATTTTGTAATTATGGTGTATTTTTTCCTGTTTTCGTTGCATTTCACTTCGTTTTTTCTCCAAACTACTTCGATGGAGGAAAGAGTAATCGACGAATTGGGAGGGGTAGCATACACTGTTAACCGAGAGAGCTTTAAGTCACAGTAACTGCCTTACCAACTCAAAATAGCATCAGTAGTAGTAGATGTGGTTGGGCGGTTACACCGTAGTGCTGTCATGCCGGAGACCACCGGTAAGGTGATAGCATTTTTTTTTGTCGGGGAGCGAAATTACACATCCTAACCTCACCAGTCCGTGGCGATAGTACTAGCCTTGCGGCGTCAAATCCTCTGGCTCACGACTCCATGTCTACTTCAACGGTAAAACAGATAGCAGTGACATTATTTTAGTTATTGTGGTGGTGGTAGTAGTAGTTGTACTGGTACTTGAAGGATAGTGTGGTAAATACAACACTAACCGCATTTACTTCTTATTACAATTCCTGCTGCCTATTTTAGTCCGGATGGTCAGGGCTATCAGGGTCAGTTACAAAAAATATCGTCGGGTGGTGACTTTTAAATCCTTCGATGAGGGAGAGAGCAGTATTCGGTGGATGGGGTAGGGGAGGGGGTGATGACAGAAATTGTTAACTTAAAGAGCTTAACGAATGAATTTAAAGTGTTCATTTCTTAATTTGTTTATATTTTACTAACGCTACCTCCGCACTTTCTCATTTTTTTACGACTTACTTGGTTATTTACAGATACAGCTCTAGCATGTGATAACCAAAATAACCATCTTTTCTTTACTGTGCTAATAATACCATTTAAACGAACACTAATATAAAGACACAATTATATGTTGCGCGTTCTAAAGTGGTAAACCAGACTATCTCTATATCTGTGCAGAGAATGATTGCGACATTAACTATATGAGACACGTGCGATTTATATTGTCTTTTTT